TAACGGCCGGTTATTCGGGGTTTTGACCGCTTAGCCTCGTAGGGATTTCCAAAAGAAGTTGGATGTCATTTTACGTTTGGGTATTGAACGGTTTATTTTATTGTTCTTGCGTGTTTTTGGTTTTGACCTACATCCGCACAGTCGTTTAGCCGCTATGGCTATATATAAGTTATTTAATGGGTACCGGATTTGACACGCACATTATAACCACTTTATCTCTGGTACATTACGTGCAATTTTTGCGAACCATTATATAACTCTAGTGATAAATCCTTTCCCGCTTGATTAACACTTCCAGAAACTTCTGTGGGACGGAGAACACACAAAGTAGTCCTTATCCACCTGGGTAGAACACCGAGGTTGCTCCCGAAACACGCAGAACCTACGCTTCATAGACACGGCCCCTGGTGACGAAGGGTCCTCATGCTGTAGACCTGGGTCAAACATAGGCGTCTGTGGTGCGCCGGGACCTGGACTTGCCGAGACCTGTCGTCGGGTAGGGGTAGGCTACCACTGAAGTCTAAGTGTAAGGAATAATTATGTTTATCGACCGACGCGACGACAAAGTCTTCACGTCAATGCTTCGAGACCCAGATGATACACATACGATAGTAATAAAGTTCTAAGGTCCTCCCACATAACAGTTTATCTGCGATACGTCACAATCTTTAATCGCTCACCATTACGCCAGTGTTTGTAAAGCCAACCATTCATGCGAAGCAAAAAAAACCAAAGCCTTCTGTTTATTCTGTTTGTACATTTCTCAGTATGTTAGGCTAGGGTTCTGCGGGTTTCAGGTGGAATAATCACTACTGGGCTAGTACTTTGTTAAACACTATACTCTCGATAAGTTTCTCCACCAGTGCTAATCGAGGTATACTTTGTGTGTTCTTCCGTCCCCAGAAGTTCGTGGAAGTTTATCAAGGAAGGGATTTGTCGAGAAACCTGAGAACCAGCAATCAGATTATTAATGGATTGAGGACGAAATATATAATAGACAAGCTCTTATATCCCCATTACTCAGAGGAAAGTTTTATAATAGTTCGCATCTGTTAACGAGCCGACTAGCTCATAGGACATGGCTAGCATATTCCATTACGGCCTATAGCGTGAAGACTGCTTCAATAGCTAGGCTCCGAGAGCCATTAATCTGTCACGGCTAAGTACACATCTAACCTTCAATAAACACAAACGGGTAGCATTGGCACATCACGCTCGTTAACTGCGTTCCCTACGGTATGTACTGTGCGAGCGGTCCAAAAGAGACAAACCACGGATAACGGCTTTAGCTCATGAGGCTCGGGCCGTTTTGTTCCGCATGGCTAGGCGTGAATTCTACCGCCAGAAGGGCCAGACCGCAAATAAAATTCCACATTTTATCGCCTATACGTTGTGGCCACCAACTTTTCGCTTTAGGAACGTCGAATGGTGGGCGCCGACTACCCCAGAAGTAAATTACACTTCAGCCTCTGGGCCACTTCGCTCGTCTCAAATTGTTTGAGGTGGTGCATATGAATATCTCCCCGAGAAGTCTTGAAACCGCGGAATATGTGTGTGTTGAGATCGATAAAGATAGATGGATGACCTGTTTGGAGTTATTAGTATACAATATGTTAGTTACATAACAGAGAGTGTGACAGACCCATAAAATGTGCGAATAATGGAATTGAAGCCTCAGGTCACTTATTACGACGCTACTCTAGGACTGTCCGGCACAATGCTTCTCGTCCTTCTCGCGAAAGAAAAGGGAAGAGGAGTCGTCCGTGACTGTCTTCTTCGAGCGAGAGTCATTAATGAAATCGAGGCACGAGTGACTAGTTCAATTCCTCACCCTGGCTGTCACTTCTTTATTTGTATAAAAAGGGCACAATAAGAAGGCTTCAATTATATTGATTAACCATAAATTTCCACAGGTTTAGTACTCACTTCACAATTCATATATCTTCTACACGCCATATACAACCACACACACTTTCCTAGCGATTGGAACACCTCCTCGACATAGACTGTAGACGGCCAAATTATGGCAGAGTTGAGAGAGATCTCTCTAACGCTATGCTTGTCAGGGTCACCGCCTGGCGCGGCGCTAAAGACGAAAGGGGTCTACCTGAACGCCAAACAGCTAGTACCTATGCGAGCCATAAGGAAGTGAGAAATTCTCTCTTATCTGACCTATGGCCCTCGTTATATTCGTAGGTGTTTCTGAACCGCTTCGCGCCTAATCCTAAATCCGACTTCGCAGTACGAGCATATATCCGAGGCGCCACCGTAGAGCCGTTGTCTCATGTATGGTGCGGGAGAGTTCACACAAATAGATCGTCAAATTCTAGTTGCACTAGCCTGATATAAGAGATGCTGAGCCGGTGACTGCATAGTGTTCACTCGGCGTGCTGTCTTACGGTCTGGAAATGGTATTGATAGCGCGCTTAGTTCTTATTTGGACACTTGTCTGCTTTTGTGTTGTCTTGTTTGGTTCAATTGATGTTCTATCCTCGCCGTAATACTAGCACACGCTAAAGAGCTTCGCGCTCCATTCGAAACTTGCCACATGAGATACCGTTAAGTTAGAGACCGGTCTCGGCTGAAAGCCCGTCTCATGAGTAAGTGTATAGTCTCAATGCAGTCAGAGCATTCGTAACTAAAGTTTGTACAAACGGGCCAAAGGAGTGCATGACATATATAACTTACTTGACACCTTTAATCGCGCTAATTATAATTAATATCACATTATAAGCGTCGTTTTCTAACTGGAACGAGAGAGAAGTACATGTGTGCGAATTACGCATAGATAGTAAAAAAGCCATGTAAAGTAGTTATCTACTCAACAAAGAAATTGTGTGGATAGATACAGACACTGGTATACGCGAGAAACTGATGTTGTGGCACATAGCGGAAGAAACAACAACAATAAGTTGAGAAAATTGGAGACATCCCGACTCCTAAAGACACGAGAACCCGTTAGTGTGGTGACAACCCAAAAGATAGTCTTGTCTGCGGAAGACTCTACAGAAAACCGTTGAGACTAAGGACGGAATAAGAGCGAGGAGGGAGGCAGCACAACACGAGCTAGCTCATGAACATCCTTTGAAGTCCTGTAGCGCTAGTCTGTATTAACAGTTCGACGCAGTGTATATATCTTTTTTGAGAGGTTACAGAGCTGATAGAATCGGGTGGGGTATTAAATTACATATGAGCGGTGACATTGCATAGGATTAGCCCTTTTCGATAGTTTTCCGGACATGAGATCGAAGTGTTAGGAATTATACTGTTCGACGAAGGAACAGCAATCGACCGCATTATTTATCAATGATTCTTGGGAGACTCACTAAGGTAATACCTTCATTCGATGAGACGCTAGATTTACTAGTTCCTGATCTGTGGTCACCTGGTGAGCTTACCAGACGCGGAAGAGTCTAGCCTGCAAGTGACGTGCATGATGCCAAAAGTGGAGAGGGAGGAGGGATGCACTGACATACACAAACTCTCTGCCATACACGTAGCGTACAGATAGATGCCATGCCGCAGGCCGTAGAGGCTGCGCCTCCCGCGTCAGTGCGTCGCGCCTGCAGCGTCCGGTACACACGTGCTGACTGCGTTTTCCTATAGCTACATCTATGACGTCTGTCTCGCGTTCTCTTTGATCCTAAGGTTCGCCAAGCGCTTTCGAATTATCACGATGAGAGCTCGCTCGCACAGACCGCGTTGCGGTCCATTTTTTACGTGGGAGCGTCAATGCTTCTTGACACTATCGTGTATGCTTATATCTCGCTTCATCGGTCCTGTAGGTGTCTGAACGCGAGTCGACTTGTCTGGTGCTCTACATACGTGCGTTCTGCTTCTTTGCCTCTCGTGTCGCCTACAGGAGAGTTCTGCGAAATGTCCTTTCAGGGGAAGGTAGTAATCCGATATACATAGGAGAAGAGTAAGTGGAGAAACTCGGTCCAAAACTATCGCGAACGTTTAAGTCGTTTAACAGACAGGATAAGGAAGTAGATGTTTGAATTGCTCGCTTGCGTGGCAATTATGCTCGAAATGACAACTACAATCTATTATCGTACTATGCTTAAGGATCATGATACGCCGCCACATGTAGCTCTTAAACGATCCTACTGCGTCTGACTCTCCTGGCTCTAACTACCGCGCAGCGAAAAACCGATAAGACACGTATGTGAAAAGGGCACACAGACGAGACGACGCGGCAACATGACACCATTCCGCTGAACTTCATTCAACTCTCTATCGACTACCATAACATATTACATGACTCGCAGAGACTACACCCTCTCAGTCTGCACTCCTCCTTAGTCGAATTTCACATTAGACCACTTGGTCTATGGAGCTAAGAGCTTTACCATCCTCAGCCGGAGTATATCGGCTAAGAATAAGTGTGGTTAAGAAATTACCTTAGGGGTCACTGGCGGTCCTGGGTCGTAATGTTTATTTGTGCTTTAACATGTATAATGTGGCCGATACCGATCGAGTGGGCGGGGCCTATGGGGATCTTCCATTTAAAGTGACGTTTAAAACTCAGTTAATGGGGCTCCTTCACTGGAGCTTCCACAAACAACAACCAACATCATTATTACATTCAAATGATTCACATTATTCAAGTTTACATTAACTTTGGAGAATAACACGGGAGAAATGAGCGGAAGCGCTCTCTTTTCCTCTCTCTCTCCTGACAGCCTGTCAGTATCTCATGCAGCTCACTGATCCAGTAATGAGTGACCCGACAGTGAAGAATAAACATATTTATAACTAGTTTAGTTCCAGAGGTAGATAGAATAGCTAAGTGTGTTAGGTCTAACTCTTAGTGTGTGTTCTGCTCCGCTCACCGGTCCGTCACAGCGGGTGGAGCTGCAGGATTTCTGCTTCACACACGTTGCATACCGCTATTTTACACCTTAAAATACTGCCAGACTGGTGAAGCCATTTAGGCGAGCTTGTTTTGCCGTGCACAGAGAAAGGTGTCATGTATTTTACGTCATGTGATCGGCTCTCACGATCGGCATTTATAGAGAGCACCGATCGATCGGCAGAGAGTGAGTATCGGCCATTATCGATCGGCGGCCGATCGGGGCATCCCTAGTTATAAGAATATTCCCCTTTCTGATCATTTGAGAGTTTATTTATTAGACTAACACAGAAAGAGCTTGTTTAATTACCCTTACTTACCCTTTTGAATAGCTTTACCTATCCCCCTGTGTGCCTTGGCAGTATAAAATATAATAACTGTACTATGACATAATGTAGCATGTCCCTGGTTTCTCTACTTAAAAGAACATTATAATCTTACATTTTTCAGCTAGTGCTTTTTTTTTTATTATACGTTTTGTTTTCATGCCAGTTCAATAATATACTTATGTCCAAAGCCTCTAAAAAGATGTACATGTGTAAGTGAGTCTTACCATGGTGACCAAGTTTCCGAACCACTGGTGAGCGAGCTCGTGTCCGACCACCAGCGCCACCCACTGCCTGGAGGACGAGCAGGAGTTCTTGGGGTCGATCAGCAGAGCCGTCTCCCTGGGAGAAATAAAAACAAACAGAGAGTGGAGGTTAACATGGAGACCGGCTGAAGGTCGACACCTCCTCTGGACGTCAAACACCCAGAGTGCACTTCAGCTGCTGCCATGGTTATTAAGAGAGGCAGGAGGCAGTAGGTGCTTATCACTTTCCATCTGAACACCCAACAGGTGGTGCAGCTAACCAGGAAGCAATTAAAAACCCATCAGAGCTGTCACCCAATAAAACACACGTGCACAAATAACTCATTTCCCCTGCAAGATAGAACACAAACTGCTGCTTTCTCAATGAGACACGGAGCTGCACAACTACAGATTAGAGTTGCATTAAAGCAAAAGTTCCTTGTGGTTTATTTGGATAATTTCCCCAGGATTCATGATAATCACGTAGGTCTATAGAGTGCTGCACTGACGCGTCCTAAAACCCAGAAGTAAGCTGCGCATGGGTTCCTTCCGGCTCCATCAACAAAAAACCAATGCAGCTTCTCCATAGGACTTTGGAAAATAGCTGGAAATAAGGTCTGTGGTTGAGACACATTTAAGAGACGGATCACGTTTTTAGTAGATTTATGAAATTGCATTGCTTTTTTGTCGAGGGAACCGGAAGGAACCCATGAGCCAGAGTTCCCGGTCAAAATGTCCGTTAAAGTTTAAATCTTCCGGACAAAATTAGAAAAGTGCCGGTCAGAGGTCTTCTTTGTTATTTATTGAGCTTTAAAACAAATTGATTTGATATTAAACAAACTAATTATAGTGGATTAACTACATTATTCAAAAGTGTACAGTAACTTATAATAAAACGGGAATAATAAACGGAGCACTCTCCCTCTCCTGACAGCCCGTCAGTATCATGCAGCTCGCGGATCCAGAGTAACCCGACAGTAAAACTAAACATATCTATAACTAGTTACGGTAGTTTGATAGGTAATTAAAATAGCTACGTGTGATATTCTAACCTGAAGTGTGCGTTTTGCTAGACTCCGACTTATCTTGACGGACTACTGGAGCAAAGATTAAAGACTGTATTGACTCCCTTTATCTACAGATAAGATGACTTTGTGTTGTCATACTTTAGTGCCAATAGGCCAGTATACCATGAGAACTCATTTTGAAACTAACATTTGAGTCACTGTTACTTAAGATTACATTAAGCAAAATCAACTATAGTTATTTTTCAATTCAACAACATTTTTGACAATGGCTTAATAAGCTAGGGCTGTGCACTTGCAGTCCGTTTAATAAATCCATAGAAACACGTTACACGGGAAGCTTTAGTTGCCGTGTCTTGAAGAGGAATGGAAGTGTACCTGTAGGTCACGAGGCCCCAGTTCTCCATGGCACCTGAGAGGGAGGAAGACGTACGCATTTTAGTTTCAGCCTTTTTTTTGTGTGGAAATGATGAAAAATGACTGAATATTCAATTGACAGCTACTCACCAGCAGCAAAATCAGCAATAGCTATTAGATCGATTTTAGGCAGTGGATAAGGAACATTGAAGTAGTTATTGTAGAAAGGTAAGGTCTTAATAGCAACCTGCAAAAAACACACAAAGCCATGTTAAGAATAAGATGTCATAAGGACACAAAGGGATAGGCGGATTCAACAATTCAGTATAGAATTAACCGTCAAATGCTGGCACACATTTCAGTTAACTGTCTATTTCTCTACACCTCTAATCATATTTGTATAATTCTTAGAGCAAAAGTGAAACCAGCAAGCTCAGCTGTCTTTCTAAAAAGGGATGGACAAAGTTCTCACCTCCAGCGCAAACTTCCCTTGTTCTGACTTCCCGACAGGCGTGTAGACGCGTACCGTGATGCCGTCCGATGACTGGGCCTCCACAAAATCATATTCACCGATGACAAAAGCTACAAGGTACGTGGACATGATGGGCGTGGTGGCAAACTTCACTTCCACCAGGTTCTCATCCTCTGGATATGGATTTCGCTCAGTGACATTCTGCAAAAGGGAGAGAATAGATTCAAGATTCAAAGGTCTTAATAGCCGCATTCACACCGCAGGACTTTCCCTGGTACTTTGGTTCTTTAGTTCCGTTAGTACCAATAATGTCGCGTTCACACCGCCGGGACTACTCAGTGCCGGGAACTCTTTTGGCCATTTTCAGTCCCTGCTAGAGAGGTGGTACGAACCTAGTGATAAAAGAGTGCCAATTTCTATTCTATTTCTATTGGCTGGGCGAATTGCAAACCACGCCTCGTTAAAACTCTGAATTTTTTTTGTTAGGCAGCCATTTTTTTCCTCGGTACAAAACCACATCCACACCTGAGCGAGTAGTTTTTTTGTACTTTAAAGCAGTTATGACCACACGTACTACAACACCGGAGCGGTGGAATGATGAGGAAGTGCCGGTGCTTCTGGCAATTTACTCTGAGGACGGGATGCAGCAGCTTCCACAGAAAGCAGTTCCCAACTCTAAATGTTTTGAGCGATGTTCGCAAAAGCTACTTGAGCTGGGAATCGTGCACAGTGCACACGGATGCCGGGTAAAAATAAAGAAACTCAGGCAGGACTATAAAAAAATTAAAGACCATAATAATAAGAGTGGTAACGATCGAAAGACCAGTAAATGGTACGAGCGCTTGNNNAATTTTCTAAATTGAAGGTTGGCTCTTCGTAGGGAACTTAAATATAGTTGGGGAAAGTATATTTTAGCATAATCTATCCGACTAAAACAAACAGATGCCATTCAAGTGCACTTGAATATCCATGCCATTCCTCAATCACATGCACACTGCTTACTGCATGGCTATTGAGACCACACCCCCTACAGCAGGGATGCAACTTGGATGGTGGTGGGGGCCACATCATTTATGCACTGGCCACCAGGGGGCCGCAGATTCACTTGGAACACACACAAAAAATTAGTAGTAGCGGCGGCTCAAGTCCCTTACTCTCATTACAGCAACGGTCTGCTAACATACTCAACATTGTGGTTTACGCCTGAATTCAGTGAAAAGATATTCTTTCTCCCGCTTTTCTTGGAAAACAGGATTCTCCTCAGATACCCGTCTCTTGCTGACATCCACAGAGGGTTGTGCTCATATATGACCCTCTCTATCGGTATCAGTCGGATGTCGCAACGGCTCATTTCAAAATAAAATGATACAATTCCCATGGAAGGTTTCCAATATGGAATATTTCAAAAATTCCCCAGCTTAGCTTCCCATGGAAATTTACCGGATATTTTCCGCCCCTTTGGAACCCTACATGTGTCTAGAGTCCGATCTGAATCTTGATATATTGAGCCGGTGCCAATTTTGTAGTTTTTAGGGTGATAACGTCATAAAGTATGATAACTCAAAATCAAAGCTTATTCGAAAAACATCAATAGAAGCTATGAATGTTCTCTAGCACAGATATATTTTTTTATTGTATATTTTACCCCAATATTTTTTATTATGCAGTCTCTCTATGTCTTTGATTCGTATTTATTTCCATGAATGCTTTTTATTTTTCGACATATTTAATGAGCATTGTTGGCGGGAAGCTGAAATCCAACAAGATTACATAAACTCTAAACTAGATGAGAATTCAACAATAGAATAAAATAGATATAGACATAAGTAACCACCACATTTATAGGCTGTTTGATTCAGATTATAAAGACATATTTCTGACCTCCCTGTGTGATTAGGGGGGCCTGCCCTGAACACTAAATAACTATGTTGCTTTGACCAGGACACGGTGACTATTTGGGAGGCAATTTGAAAGAGAGATGTATGCCGACCTGCAGACCTCTGATATTTCACTTGCATGTGTCCTTTCGGGAGTCAGAGACACAGGCTGTCATTTTGCTGTGTGAGCAGCTGCTCTCTTTCCCTTTGTCACAGCACTACAGTGGAGCTTTTTTATCTGTAGCAGGTTAAAACCCCGTCAGCTGTTTTCAAAGCAGATTTACTGAAGGCGGCTTTTGGAGCCATTGTTCAAATGAAACGCATGAAGCCAACGATTTCATCTACCAACCAGTCTGAGTAGGTTGTTTAGTAGATTGTGGTAAATCAATAAAAGACTCTTAAAATACTCCTTTATTCTTCCATGTGGCAGCCTGAAACAGCTTCCATTATAATCTCACTCAACGCAAGTGTCAAGAAGAAGAATAATATATAATACTTTATTAATCCCACAAGGGGGATTTCAGTTTCAACCTGCACTGTCACTGCAAGTCACTAAAGCTTCTTCCTGTGTGTATTCTACAATATCAGTGTGTATTTAATAACAAAATGTGAAGAAGCAACTACACAACAATTGCGGTGAGAAGTTACTCTGAATAAGATTTATCTCGCTGTTTTGCTGAACCCTCAGTCATTGTCAAATACCGCCTGAAAACTCTTTAAATGGCACCTTATAAAAGTTGGAATTGGGGTGGAGGCTCCCTCTAATAATTGTTCTTATCCAAACCAACAAGCACGCCCACTTCAAGCAGTAACTGGCCATGTGTGTCATTATTAAGTAAGGCTTGAAGTAGTTTGTGTTTGGGCTTCTCCGTCTTCTTTTATTCTTCACATGACTTCCTTTTTTTCGCACAATCGAGTGTAACACAATAAAAGTCAGGCAACACTTCCTATCACTACATTTCAGGCATTCTTCCATCTTTAAGCCACCGTCAGTGGAACCACGTGTTAAGGTAATAACCTGCCACTGTATTCTCTAAAATGAGTTAACAACTACAAGAAAAAACTGGCAGCCCTTTTTGCATTTCGCTTCACTTTCTTTTCAGACCAAGTCAAGTCCGTGTCGGGAGGACAAACGGAAACCAAAACCTCTGGACACAACTTTATAAACATGGATATGACTAACGGGAGACCCTCTGTCATAGCTGTCCCTCACAGTGTGCACTGACTCGGGTATAAAACCTGTGATCTTCACAGAGTGGATATTCTCCAGGTTCCAATAAAAGCCCAGCAATCAGTCCCGTCTGGCTTTGACAGAAATGCATGTCAACACACAGTTGCATCTTTAAACCATATGTACAAATTAGGGCTGCACCATCAATCAACATTTACAAACTGACTAGTGCAATACTCAAATTGGAGAAAGCACAATATGTGTTGAAGGTTTAATTAACTGCAGAGATGTTACATCCTACAAATAGTCAACTATAGACTCGTTGCATATTGTGTTGGTACAGATTCTGATCATTTGAATTACATTACATGTCACTTGTTAGACGCTTTTATCAGGGACACAACGACATGCTGACTGCAGTGGGGTTTGAACCTGTGATCCCAACACCAACGCACTAACCCACACGCCTCCCGTGTCATTTGAATGAACTTTTTTTGAAATGTTTTAAGGGGAATAATGATGTAGGATGATAAATTCCCCTCAATAACAATAACATATCTCAAAGCAATTTCATGCAATACGTTATTTTACCAGATGGTGCAGCCCTAGTATAAATAGAATATCATTTGAGACATCTCCTGATCTCTAGGAAAGTTCTGGAACATTAGTCATTTCACCATCACACGCTCCTATGTTGCAACACAGGCGAGTAGTGGGTTAAGCAACGCTCCCAAAGAGAAAACATCCCGTTGCCTTTTGGTTTTCAGCTTACCTCAAACTGTGTGACGGCAGCGTAGCGGCTCTCTCCAGCAGGGTTTGAATATTTACTTCTATAGAATCCCTTCATTTTGTCGTTCAGCTCCCCGACAAAGTCTACCTTCAACGTGCCGGCGCCTGGGGGGGGACGAGAAGGGGGAAACATTGTATTGATGACAGAACGATGATTCAAAAGCAGACGACAAGTGGAGTCACGTCTTACCTTTCTGTAAAGCGCAAGGGAATGACAGGGTGACTTTCTCATCCTCATTTTGATAGTTGAATCCGGTTGCGTTAATTTCTGAAAGAGAAGAAGAAGAAGACCATGGAATATTCCCTTTTCGATTCACGTTTTTATGTATGACAGTGGTGTTGAATAAGAACATAAGAGGGAGAAAGTCTGAGCCTCACCTTCTCCTCCCTGCGGTGCAAAGGAAGCTGTAATGATGTCGATGTCAGCGCAGTTCATCACTATCTGATTTGTGGCTTGTGTAACCTGTAAATATTGACAGAGAACAGCATAATGTATACTTTGAAAATCTCTGCTGTGGCATTATTTCAAATCCAAATCTGTTTTGAAACCTCAATTTATTTTTATTTTCATGGCTCTGTTGTTTAAGTTATATTGAGAAGCATTTTAAAAAAAATTTTTTTTTTTTATAAATGTTTTTGGTTTCGTTAGTGTGGGCATGTGCGGTTGGGGAAGATTCCTTTTTACACCTTTTCCAAAAGTCAAATTCACACGATAGAAAGAGAGGTGTAATTCAAGCTGATTCAGCACTTTGAAGCCACATTGGAAAGACACATCTATTTATTATGAAAGCAGCGCAGATACAACTTGAAAGCCGTTTCGTGAATTTTAAAAAACAACACTTTTAAAACCTTGAAAACTCCACAGTTAAATAAAAAAGGTGTTTGTGAGGATTGCCAGCACCTGTGCAAACACTTTACACTTCATTAGGTTTAAGGAAAGTAAGGGCTAAGGTCCAATGTAAGCATCACCTAAGTATGTAAAAAGAGCATGGTTTTGTTTGACTAGATTAAAATGTATTTGGTTTATCAACATGAAACACTAGTGAGCAGAGAAGGAACACATGGACTTACTGAGCAGTAGACCTACCGAGGCTAAAGAGCTCGGGTCACAAAGACGACCCAGTCGGGGTTTGAAAAGGAGAGAACGTGATGAAAACAAAGAGGAAGGCAGACTATGGGGCTTCTACCTTGTGATGTGAAAACAGTGGATGTGACTGCACAGATTATTGAGGGGGAAACTCTGTGGAAGCGATGCCGTTTAGGAGTTTATCAGAGTGACATTCACAGTGTGTGGCACTGCTGCTGTTGCTTGAGACACTTTGAGGCCGACACAGCGGGGCAGTAATTATAAAACATGCCGGGCAAATGGCTAAGTGCCACGTTTTAGAGATTCTTCCGCTCTATTGTATTTTACACAGACTTTGTGCAAACAGTAGGTAATCAGGTTGTTACTAAACCAAACTGTGGGGGACGGTTTTTAACTATTAGCAATCACAGGATTAAGAAACCTTCAGGATGACTCAACAATAAGACTTGGAACATGCATTTTAGTGATCAACACAAGGACATCATGTTTGGATTGATTCAAAATGTGATGTTTTAATTATTACGGTTTGTCTAATATATGTTTGAATATGTGCTGCCCTAAGGTTTTTTATTTAGCATATGATCACTCGTATACATATACTGGAGGAGATAAGATTCTTGCTACTGATAAAACAATTTAAATAAAAACTTCCTCATCCCTTTGTTTGCTTCGTCATTTCACAAAAAAAGCCACACTTCTCAAAAACATCCAGTGCCAACTTGTATTAGTTTATTGCTAAAACAATAGCTCAGTCAACAGAAAACTAATCATTAACCGTTGCGATAAATACAAATGTACTTTTTTAATAAAGTAAGCTTTTCACGTTTGAGGATTTACTGCTGATTTATTTTATATCACCTGGAACTGTTTATCTGTAGGTTATTGACTGTTGGTCAGGCAAAATATTATAGCATTTGTTTTTCTGCATTTCAAACATGGCTCATGTTACTTGGGATTACTGTTCGGGTAGCTATTCAATGATATTCAATTTTTGAATGTTGAGTTGTTTATCATTTGGTGTCACATACTTATTTGAGCAAGCACATGTCGACCATATCAAATGCAGTGCTGCGCGTTGACTGTTCTGATAATGTGTGCGGAGTGAGTGACTACAGCCAGGCGTGTTAAAGGCAGGTGTTACGATGCCCTGCTGACAGGTGCCAGTAGCCGAACAATGAGGCAATTTACAGACTTGAAGCACAAACTCTATCGCTGAAATAAATGCAAATTGAGCTGTCATGTTTGTTTTATCTGTTAGTTACACAGTAGCTACCATCTACATGCACTTTTGCAACAATCCAACGGGAACCCAAGTGATTCACTAACCTATTACCTTGAGTCAACTGAAAGCAAACGAACAGTGTGCATTCCTTACATTTACTGTCAACACTGTGTAAAGAATAGATTGTGCTGCTCTAAATATAGCTAATCAGGCAAATTCACTATTTGCAGATAGTTACGCACATTAACTCATGTGCTGTACTTAAATATACATTTGAAGTACTACATGCAACTTTATACATTTCAACCAAAGGCAAGTGTTGTACCATTATCTTCACCACTTTTACTTGACAGCTTTATTCACTTTTCAAATTATATTTTTGTGACGATGTGTCTCCAGATGTTTTGAATTTGAATGGTTGTGAAAACTTGAAGGATAAAGTGTTCCTTTATACGTTTAAAAAGCTACTTCATCAACATTAACTGTAAAAAACGCATTGAAACAAAGCCAAAAACAGGGATGTTTGACTGCGCTCATAATAAGTTGCTTTTTTTTTGCGATTACGGACACTACAAACATTGTGGTATTATAGAAATTTGAATTATATTCAACACTTAAATAATACTTCAGTTATATCTGAATTAAAATTCACATGCTACCCTGCAGTATCCAAAGTCATTAAAACTAGCTGCACCTTTACCAGCTATAATGCATCAATAATTATAATCAATTCGTATCATATATATTATTCTGCCAATCTCCAGAATGACTACTTTTACTTTTGGTACTTTAAGTATATTTTGATGCTAATACTTTTGTACTTTAGTAACATTTTGAATGCAGTAATTTTAAAAAGTATTCCTACCCTCTGGTACTTTTACTCAAGTACAAGATCTGAGTAATTCTCCCACCTCTGGTGGGAGGGGGCTACATCATGTTGCCATGATTTAGCAAACATTATTGAGCGTTAGCTAGATGCTAGTAGGCTAGTAAACAACTTAAAAAATGATTGCAGATAAACCGATCCTGATTTAGAGCAATGCATTGGTGTAACAAGGGGTTAACATTCCTGGCGAACAACAAACTGATCCTGAAACACATTAAGCGCACTGCAAAGCGCTTGTTAGCATGCTAACGTTAGCTAACATGAGAGTGCAAGTCTGCCTGTGACTGTTGTGCTAGCTAGCTTCAATTAGCTTCTGGCAGAAATATCGAGACTTTATTTTTCACCATTCATTGCTCTCATTCAGCCACCTTGAGCCTGCCGATAAACGGTTAGCTAGTTTAGCAACTGCCAGCAAACACAAGCTAACGGCTAACGTTACGCTAAGCTACTACTGATGCTAACAGCTAACAGTTTGCCCGTTATTGCTCGAAGACAGCACATTAGCTCGCTTCTGTTAACGTTAGCTGGTCATATTACATAACAAGATCCACACACAAACAAATCCATCCATGTAAGAAGCCAGACGCTCGGGGTCAACTTACCTCCACCACCGCCTCCAGTTTCCCTTCAAAGGTGAAGTCGATCAGGTCCGGCTTCAGACACAAGCCATAGTTGACGGGGTAAACGTCAGCTGGTAACCGCACGAAGGGCCTCCTTTCGGGCATGGTTCCTGTATTTTGGCCGCTAACGAAGACGGTGCTGTGTGTAACTCTTGTTATCGCTGTGAGTTTTATTAGTGCAGAGCTGATCAGAACGGAGCTCGGCAGTGAGGATGCAGGACAGCCGGTAGTGAGTCTGTAGAGTGACAGCGGAACCCTGCGGCCCAGGAGAAGCAACATCAACTGAAACCTCTCTCCTCTCAGCCCAAACAACTCAAGTTAACCAGCGTCGACCTACAGACACGCTACGTCATCACGTCGTGTCAGCGTACGTGCTTTACGCACCATAGATAGATAGATACAGCGCCGGATAGATAGATATTATTTTAATCATGTCTACAAATTGTCTTTATATTACTGCAAAACTATGATGCTGCATTTTTATTGGAACGATTGATTGGAGAATATTTATGTTGGTGGGTATAATATAATGAAAAATAAGTCCTTAAAAATGTTTTTCCTTTTTTGAGGAAAAGGGTTTAAATTTGATTAGAATAGATTCAATTACATTTACTGTATTGATCACCATTTTGGATTATGTGTAGTCAAAGCAGCATGTAAACAAGGTATTGTACATGAATTCAAATAAAAATAAAACAGAAAGTTAACAGAAACAGTTAACATATGTATATATTTAAATATCTCATATATTTGTGTATAGCTCTAAACACTTTCAATGCAAGAAATGCATTTTGCATTAACAGCAGAATCATATTACCCTTAAAAAGTGGCACAAATACGGGTGTGCAGTACTGTAGGTCAAATTGCAAACCCAATCAAGTATCCAATGATAATGTAATCTGAATGCACATTTTGTGACAAATGCTGTAACAACAACAAGCTTAGTTCCTTTCAAGAGTAAACATAATATTCAACCGGTCAAATTTAGAAAGATGCAAACTGAATATTGATAATAGATATTTGTATGGTCTAAAGCGAGTATTCCTTGTTTTTGTTATCACTGTAGATATATATATATATATATATATATATATATATATATATACACACAAAAACACATAAAATGAACCTTGCAATAAACGTGTTTTATGTAATGTCACATTTTTGGTAACATAATATTAAAGATAATAACATGCTGTATGTATGTCACACAACTATTTATTCTCGTTGGAAATGTCCATAGAGCTCGCGCTAATAAACCGGAAGTCGTCTTTTGTGTCAGACGGTGTCAAGATGGCGACGCCCATGAGGAGGACGCTGGTTGCTCTTCACAGGGCAACATGTAGCAGTTTAATGGTAATGAAGCATTTAATAACACTTTAGTTTAATAAATAGAGACACTCAGTTTGTTGTTTTAGCAGGTCGTTTGTTGAGCTTGTTGTGAAAATGTCGAGTCCTGATTAGGCTAGCTAAGCTAAAGCTAACTGTCTTTACATAAAAGGATAATTTCACCAGGAAATAAAAACAAAACAGAGGAAATGTTGTAAACAAATAAAATACAAACGCTGTGTGTTGTTAGTGATCATCTATTAGACTGTTAGGAAGTTAAACATGTGATATTCTACCCTGTAGTCTTAACCTTAGTGCTATTTCAGAGTTGTTTATGTACTTGACTGCATTATTTGTACATGTTGTGGAAAATTAATTAAAAACTGACCTCAAACATAAAGTATAATTATCTTCAGACAACGTGTAGAGGGTATTACCTTTGCACATATGTGTAATATAGGTATACTAAATAAAATACTATTCTACAGACACCTGCACGTTGCTTTAGTATTTCTATTTCATGCTACTTTACACTTCAACTCCACTTAATCTCAGAGACAAATATTGTACTTTTTACACTCCTACATTTGTCTGACAGCTTTGGTTACTTAGTTACTAAGTACAGCTGAAACTGTTAATCAAAACATGAATTGCAAACTATTTGAATAAGTAATTTATTGCATGAAAAAAAGCATTTCATGAAATAAATCTATTAGATTAGTAGATTTAATGGCAGAGCTCTTTAGTTGTATACAATTATACGGGTCAGGTGTACCTAATAAAGTGGCCATTTGGTTCAGATTGATTAATTAGTATTAAAAAAAATGGTGTGGTTAAACCATACACTTTTCTGCATGTATAGATATTGAATTTGCATTTTACTGTGTACATTTATAGCATTGTGTATCTTTGTTTGTGCATCTTATTAAAGTATTCATTGATTACATTTAGTTGTATTTGCATTCTTTCCCACTTTATAATGCAATTACTGCACATCAATTTCTCGCATAAACAAAAATTGAACCATTTTTCTCTCTTTCTCAGAATGCCGAGGCGTCTCTGGACCTTCGGCACCCGCTCCCTCTGTACCTGCCGGTCCGGACTAAGAAGCGGTACTTCATCCCTCCGGCGCCGGGGATGAAAGGGATGAAAGATGTTAACATCGAGGACAGGGCCCGAAGAGCCGGCGTTGCCCCCAGACAGCAGTACTTTGAGAGGCCCATCAACATCGCCTCCACTTGTAATAAGGCCTTTTTTTCACCGTTCTTGATTGAATTTAAATACATTTGTTGAGGTGGCGTTACTGTTCTAGTTTCTTTTTGTTAAATGTAAAGACTGCAAAGGCTTTTTGGAGTTTTTAATAAATATATTCAACACAACAAAGTAGTATATGATTAGTACCAACATGCATTTATAGCAAAATTATTAAATGTCCCGTCAAGTTTAAATGATTTCCTACGTGTTATCTTATCAAACTTCTTCTGATTTAAATTATAATTGTGGTACCTTTTGACTCTTTTAATATCTTTCATTGTGTTTTAGATATCTTATTTGAATCACTTAAAGATATGAGCTGCTTGAGATGAGAAGAAAAGCTTGATTTTAGTTTGATGTAAACAGGAATGTCCTTAACAAGGATGTTAAACAGAAAACAGATGTAACAAGAACACGTATGGTTCTTGTAATTGGCTCACAAACTCCTAGCTAAAGAACGTTGTGTATTAGATGCAGTTGTCGTCCGTACAGTTGTCCTAAAAGGTCAAAAGCCAGGATTGTTTGTATCGTCCACAATCCAGTAATCTGGAGCTATCATCATCAATCAGACGACAACACTGTATTTTCTAATGTCTCTCCTGATTGATAACCCCTGTCTGTTGCTTCCCCAGCGGGAGTCTTCGACCCCTACATCCCTCCGGAGGGCGACGCTCGACTCTCCTCTCTCTCCAAAGATGGCCTGAAGCAACGAGCTGAACAGATTAAACAGAGCGCCGGCTCTCAGCTAGCGTAAGATTGTTCTTCTAGCTTCTCCTGTTGTTCCTGTACTGAGGTTTTTAGCATCAAACATACCTGGATGTTGTTGGGCTGCCCTCCACCTAAGATGTTCTTATCAAGACGTAGTCCCGTCACGTTCATGATATATTATTATTATTTTTGTTTGGGCTTTTCAAAATGGTTTTAGTTCCAGAGCTGACCACGAATGTTATGACATATCATGGAACGTTGTGCTACGTTGTGCTGAAGGTATAATGTAACCTGTCCAATCTGTTCACCTTTAACTTAACCAGTCTTTAAACACGGCCAGAGCCCAAACCGCGTTCCTGTTTCCATCCTGTCTGTGGATAATGTGCAGCGAGGCGCTCATTTATGTAAAAATGCACGACAGGAAGCATCACCACGGCTACATACATATAAATAAATAAAGAAACTTGATTGGTTTCATTTGTTAAAAAACGATTGTATTGATTCCACTTAGAAAAAAAGATCCGCTCCACGGTGTACCGACAGTTGGAAATGGACGACAGCAACGTAACTTAGAATGATGGCAGCTCTGATCGAGGTTTTCTGTAACTGTCCATTTGGTTTAACCCGTTTTTTAAACACGGCCAGAGCCCACACCGTGTTCCTGTTAGTATTTACTTCCTGTCTGTCTCCTTCTCCTGATTCCTCTGACATCCAGCGCTCTGTATTTTTACCTTTTTTAAAGAATTTACTTTTGTGAGTCTTTGAACCACCTCATCACACCCTTAGGGATGATCAACTGTAAACACAATGTGAGAAAGCTGAATATATTTCTTCTCTTTTACAGGATTCGTAAAATCAAAGAGCACGACCCTCAGTTCTCAACGAAGACTTTTGCAGAGCAGGCTCAGGAACTCTTCATTGAGGCCCACACCGCCCTGACACAGTAAGAGAATGACCGGTCTCTCAGGTCTCTCAAGTCCCTCAGGTCTCTCAGGTCTCTCAGGTCTCTCACGTCTCTCACGTCTCTCAAGTCTCTCAGGTCTCTCAAGTCTCTCAGGTCTCTCAGGTCTCTCAGGTCTCTCAGGTCTCTCAGGTCTCTCAAGTCCCTCAGGTCTCTCAAGTCTCTCAAGTTTCTCAGGTCTCTCACGTCTCTCAGGTCTCTCAGGTCTCTCAAGTCCCTCAGGTCTCTCACGTCTCTCAGGTCCCTCAGGTCTCTCAGGTCTCTCAGGTCTCTCAGGTCCCTCAGGTCTCTCAGGTCTCTCAGGTCTCTCAGGTCTCTCAGGTCTCTCAGGTCTCTCAGGTCTCTCACGTCTCTCACGTCTCTCAGGTCTCTCAGGTCTCTCAGGTCTCTCACGTCTCTCAGGTCCCTCAGGTCTCTCAGGTCTCTCAGGTCCCTCAGGTCTCTCAGGTCTCTCAGGTCTCTCAGGTCTCTCAGGTCTCTCAGGTCTCTCAGGTCCCTCAGGTCTCTCACGTCTCTCAGGTCCCTCAGGTCTCTCAGGTCTCTCACGTCTCTCTGACATCAGCTGACAGTCAGGGAGGAACGCTGAATATCACAGTGAGACATTTGTTATAGAAGTGAGGAATCCTCTCATGCTGCCTTCAGCTCTAACGCTAAGTGGGAAAGCTTCAAAAACTAGCGTTGTTGTACTTACTCTGAACATGAATTGGCTGATTTAAGGAAACATCTGTGCAGAGCTGACGTGTACAGTTATTGCTCAAATAGTCTGTGATCTGGAATCAAACCGTCTGATACGCTTTTTAATCCATTTTAATGCTGTTCTTAAAAAGTATTTACAAGTTAAGAGAGCTGTGAGCGAGCAGTCCAGCTAATTTATCAAACCTTTTATGATTTCAATGTTTATTTTAAATGGAGGACAAAGACAATGAAGTGGGATTATGGAAATTATTTTACTTAAATTAAGTCTGTAATAAAATGTATTCTTATACAATTAGTAGTTCAACTTTGTTTCTGTTATTGTGAGAACATTTTATAGAAGTAATTTACAGTATTAATTTAATATTTGACCACTAAAAGTATTTGCTAAGCGTTTCTGAAGCTTTTAACGGTATCTTACAGTCAGTTTGCTCAGTTTGATTAAAACTGAAAACAAAAACTGTAAGACCTTGAGATGGGGACTACATATTTTGTATTGTCTATCAACTATGATATCCATTCTTTACATTTCATTTTGTTCTCTGTTTGAAACAAAACCGCACATTTATCCCTGCTGTTTCTTTTGCAGGTTCAACAAGGAGAAGCTTCACTCCTTGTTGACAGAGAGGTGTTATCCTGTAAGTAGTTCTTCTAAACATTGCTGCAGTTTTTCCCCTGAGCTTTGCCTTTTGAAGTGAATGTATTGTGGAGAAATGTGCTAAATAGTTAGAGGCAGGCGTTACCGCAGCATCCGGACTAATACCACCAGACACAGAGACGGCTTCATCCCGCAGGCAATAAGACCGTTAAACAACTGAACTGCTGAAACACTTTCACAACATTCATCTGCTACTTAGTCATTATTGATCTAATATATCATTACAATAACTTGTATATAGACTCGTATTGCACTATTCCACTTTTTTTAGAACTATTTTCTTTTGTATTACTTTTAATTAGGGCTGTCAAACGATTAAAATGTTTAATCAGATTAATCACAGCTTAAAAATTAATTAATCAGATTAATCACCATTCGAACTATGTCCAAAAAATGCCATTTCTTTATGTGTATTGTTGTGGGAATGGAAAGATAAATGAAAGAAGGCGGACATATCCATTTAACATACATGTTTATTATAACATTGTTCTGTGTGTCAACATGAAAGACAGCCCACACACCTATCAATCATCAAACCGTGGGGTCTTATTTCATTACTTGATAGAAATCAACACGTAATGTTGTATCGATGTATATAGAGATGCACTACAGCAAAAGTATTCTCCGTCGGGACTTCCTGCTACAACACCACGCCGTTATCTTGATTCTGATTGGCCAGAAGACATTATCAAAGATGTTCTATTGAGAAGACGATCACTACGTGACAAAAGTGTTCAAAACCGTTTCTAGTCTTCGGTATTTCCAGACAAGTGGCTACTGAAATCAATCTTACTAACTGCTGTCTGTGCAATTTACTCCGTGAGTTGGCGGACTTTATTTTGCTTACTTTAACATCAATTTTCATGGTGGGGCTAAGGTGGGGCTAAGCCATTTCTTGCTATGGCTGTAGCCTACCCCAGCGCTGCCACTGGTGGGATGTATGGGGCGGGCCATTCTGCACATGAGTTAAATGTGCTAAATATTTTAACGCAATTAATAAAAAAAAAAAATTACCGCCGTTAACGCGATAATTTTGACAGCATTACTTTTAATATAATATACTTTAATATTTTCTGCTTATCTGTATTATTGTGTTGCATTGTTGGAGAAGCCTGTGACCTAAGATTTTCAACGACATAATTACTCTGTAGCTACGTTAGTTTGACAATAAAGAGCCTTGAACCTTGAGGAATGGGCAAAGGTTAACCGTATGTATAAGTAAGGACTCAAAGATGTCACGATTAATGTTTTGCATACGTGTCATTAAATAATGATGCATTTATTTATCAAGCGCTTCTACGGGGTTTCAAAGACACTTTACAGAGACAAACTAAAGTAATACATAGAAGTTGAGTTTGTATTCCTCTGTTTGCAACTTATTGAGTGTTCTTGCATTTTAATGTGAGTTTTTTAATACCTCGGGACTGTGGGAAACAGTATTCCGATCTTTCTGTGTGTACAAACATATTTTGAGATTGACTTTGACTTTGACTAAAAGCCTTGAATCCTTGAATCTGTGCAGGAGATGACGAGGGGGAACCGTTACAAGACGATCAGCTGGAGGTTTCTGGAGTCTCTGGAGCCGCCCAAGGTGGTCCACGCTCGCTGCCCCGACATGATCTCCAAGGGCAACCTGTACGGCCAGGTGACCGTCCGCATGCACAGCAAACAGGTACGACCCGCATGTTGATCTGAGACTCTGGTCAGATCCACTTTTGAATGTAATGAAATCTGAACAATAGTTTTTGTGTGTGTTACCTGACCCAAAAGGGATGTAGCTAACTGAGTCCTCTAGTTTTTGCATCTAACTAAACACATGAAGTGCAGCACTGTTAACTATTTACAAGTCTTTGTCGACGTCAGTGTTTGTATCCAGGCTTTTGATGCACTTTGCTCTCATCTTTTCTTTTAGTGTCAGAAATGTACGAGTGTGTTGGGGTTCATTTAAGTGAAATTGTAATGTCTTCCTCTTTGATGCCATACAAATAGTTGTGACCACAAGACTGTCATTCAATATAATCCAGTCTGGATCAGAGTATAGCTATTTGTGTGCAGAGCTTCTACTCACAATGTGTGTTGTTGTTTTGTCAAGTTTCATGAATACAGCTTCTGTCAGTGTTTCTTAACGATGTGCTGCCAATAATCAAGTCTACTTTTGAGTACATTTAAAATAAAATTGCATGACCAGTAGTTCTGCATTAACAAAAGTGAAAACCTTAACATCTTTTTATGTTATTTAACTACAAGGAACACTTATTTAAAGGGGACCTATCATGCGTAAATGCTATAAATGGACTTTTTGATGTATTTTATTCATAACTATGTGTCCCCGGTGTGTCAGGGAACTCACGCAGCGTCAGAAAATAAAACCCTCTCTCTTTTCCTCCGTACCCACATCTCTAAAAACGGGGGAACAACGGAGCTGATCCAGATTTGCGTCCGATATGACGTAATATCTGAAATGTGGACCCACGGCCCTATCAGAAACGTTGCTATCAGAAACAATGCCCGACTGTTTTGGACGTAATATGGTCGGTGTTTACATTAGCATCGCTAACACTCAGAGCTAACCTGTACTGGAGAGCATGTGTGTGAAGAAGCAGGAAGTAGAAAGGAACTCACCTTGTGGTATAACCGGCAAGAGAGAAAGCCTTTGAGCTCCATACTGTTTCAGAGATAATCCTTGATAATCCATGATATGGCGTTTCATCAGCGCAGTATTTAGTTTAGACAGTAGCTGCCGGGTCACGCATGAACTCAGCCCCCTCTTTTTTTATTTGTTAAAGCTTTATACCCCAAATCAGCACTTTTGAAACAGGAAGTGAAACAGAGGGATATGAGGCATGGCTAGAATGGGTGATCTGTTTGGTATTTTGAGCAAAACACTTCATAAACATGGTTTTTAATATATTTGTATATATCTGAGACCTATGCTATTGCCTAGAAATAGTATGATAGGTGACCTTTAAGAGTTATTTT